GTACAGTTGTTAAGTAAAAATGAGTGTAATTAAAAATATTTTATTTGTTAAATTATAATAAAAATTATGTCAACAAATACTTATGCATGACAGAGGTTTACTACATGTGTAGTTCCAGGTGTGAATGTAATAATTTTTGTTCACAACTTTTTTTCTTTTAAGTCATTTTATACTGATAAAATATTAACCATTTCTAGGCAATTATTGTGAAACTTGTCAAAAATTCAAATTACTTTTTAAATAAAAATAACTGTTATTCAAATAATCGTATGAATAGAATTAAGAACTATTTACATGGGTTTCCTTTGAACCTGTTTTTTTCTTCAACTTATAATAAACCCATTAATTAATGTTCAACATCCTGTATATCGTAAATAAAATGTTTCCAGATTTTTTTTGTTTGTATAATCGGTTATTAAAGATTTACTTACAACCTGGATTTCTTCAACTAACAGAAAAAACCCATATGAGCATCGAAATTGTCTTACTTTTAACACCATGTCAGGAATATAGACTGATGTCAAGTGTCAAAACTGAAAAACAGAAACAGAAGCTTAAAGAAATAGTAATTTAATCAAGACAATTTCCCAAAAACGTTTAGTTAATTTTTTCTCAACTATACAGGGTTACTAAGGCTATGTAAACGCATTTTGTTTTGGTAATTAAATGTATTTTCGTTAGAGTCGTGTTCCTCAATTCATTATCATTATTTATTTTTTGCTAAATAAACAACACACGTTAAAAATTTCAAACTTAATACTATATTCATCAATTGTTTGTGCTGAATTCATTTAGGTAAGTAAAGAAAACTACAGCATTTCATTTAAAATTTTTGAGAAAAATCCATAAGACGGCATTCATTTGAAATAACATCATCGACAGATTTCTATATTGAGGTAAATGACATTACGCATTCACCACGAGATAAAGCATGAAAAGACCTTTCCAACGAGGTATAACACTATGGGCTTTTGATGGGTCAATCCTTAAAAAAAATGCATTTTTCTGATCAGATATTAGGGGCTTTCCCCACCCTTTCTCGAGAGATAGAACAAAATGCCATCCGACCATCCATATTTCTACTATTTAATATACAGGGTGTCCGGTAACTATGGGGAAAAATGAAGGGTTATATATAGCAGGTCAAACGAGTGCTAGTACTTCATATAAACTTTTTACCTATGTGCCACTGTTGAGGAGTTATTGTCACTCTAAGTAAGAAGTTGAAAAATGAATATTACCCATAATTTCTAAAGGGTTACTTTGATTAACTTGAAATTTGGGGGATCAAAGCAACTTATTCCAATGTATCTTTGTACATTTAAAATTGAATCAAATATTTTTTATTATACAAGAACGGTCGAAATTATGTTCTATAATTTATGCAACTTTGACAAAGCTGTCAAATTTGACATTTCGCCCTCGCAGGCAGATAGCCCTGTTACTTTTCTACAAAAAAGGTATACTTCATGACTTATGAAAAAATGAAAGGTTGTCAAGATAATTAAATTTTTGTATTTTGCGTATAGCTACAACCGGGGACACAACGCAACAGAAAAAAGTTAAAAATGAAACATATGGATTAAAAGAGATTACTTCAGTAAATGCTCGATATGTCCTCCATCTAGTTCAATGCACTTCCTTATTCTTTTAAGACAATTTTGTTGCATTCTAAATATCATTTGTGGATTCTGTTTAATTTCATTACAATGATGTTCTATTCTTGCCATCAGCTCTTCTCTTGTATAAACCGGAGTTGAATACACCAATTCTTTTAGGTAACCCCACAAGAAGTCAAGGGGGTTAAGATCTGGTGACCTAGGTGCCCATAAGTGTGGTCCGCCTCGCCCAATTTACCTATCACCAAATGTTGCGTTGAGGTAATTTCTAACTTCACGACTGAAATGCATGAAATACATCTCCTGTCTTGTTTGCAATGGCACATTTTCTAGTAGTAGATTTAGATCGTGTTGTAAAAAATTCAAATATCGGGCACCGTTTAATCTATCCGGTAAGAAAAAGGGGCCTATTAATTGGTTACCGATTATTTCTGCCTATACATTAACTATGAATCTTTGCTGGTGTTTGCCTTGAATGACTAAATGAGGGTTTTATGGGCACCTAGGTCAACAGATCTTAACCCCCTTGACTTCTTGTGGGCAGTTTAAGGGCATCAAATTTGTGACAAATTAAGCCTAACCGGAGCTCTGTACTCTGTCACTTTCGTTGCTCTGTTCAATTGCTATGTCTTCCACTATTGGTGGGTCGCCGTCTTCGTCCCCTATAGGTAGGTACTCCAGTATTGGTGGATCGTCATGGTTGTCTTGAGGCTCGTCATCGTCGTCCCCTTCAGTGATGATAAGGGCAGCGTTCTGGCACGTTTCCCCAGAGCAGGTAGCACACGTCACAGAACATCTGACCCCTGGTTTGAGGCAAGTGCAGCCACCTCTGCACCCCTTCTTGCATTTGCAAGAGAGGAGTTTTAGGAGCTCTGCGGAGGCAGGAGCTTGCGACTAGTAATGGAGATGAGTCCATCCGAGGTCAATTCCCAACCCCAGTTGATGGCTTCTTCCTCCACCCCCAACCACTTTTGCACCTGGTGGTATATGCAGTAGTGGTGATACGACGCAGCCTCTGTGGTTGGGGGCAAACGGGCCAGATTCGCTTTGGCGTTGGCTGCTGTCTTCACAAAAGTACGGAAGCGTACATCGTTGAGGGTGTCTTTCGTTTCTTCTTCTCCATATAGGGCAACTAGACACTTGTCATCGGCTGCTGCGACTTGTTGGTTGCATCTGTTTGGAAGAAAACTCTTGCTTGGTCCACTAGGGTTTGATTTTGTCTGAAGTGGCCCCACATTTTCATATTCCCCTGCCAGAAGAGGGCAGAGGTGGTGTCGCACTCATTAAATACGTGGATGAAAAGTTCAAATCCAGGTGGTAGTTCCACTTTCCCCTTGGTTGAATAAGCTGGTGGGGAATTGGACGCAACCCGCCTCACCTCTGCTACTCTTCTGGAAGTATACGTTTGTTTTAGTGGATCCAAGACCTCAGAGGAGCACGAGCAAATCGACATCCTCTCCAACCATGATGACGTGGTCATCGGAGGTACTTTTTTGCAGAGCAATCACGACGATATCGCGGTGTGCGTCTTCTTTTGATATTTTTGTCTCAATCCTCTCGAGAGCAAAAGCAGAACAGAGAAGCTCAATGAGACGAACCTTGTTTTTGTCATTCGAGAGCATCTTCTCTTGGGGGACTGTGATGATGGTCGATGCGTCAAACACAATTTCCGCTGATGCTGCATAATACCGTCGTGATCGCTTTGCAAATGTGGTGCTCTATTGGGCGCCACCCTCAGGATACCTGTCGAAGACTACACACACATTTCTCCCAAAGTGGTTAAATATGTAGCTTATGTAGCTTGCTGTGATAGTCCGTACCGAATGCCACACGACTTTATGGAGGAGGTATCCTCCATCGACGACAGCAAATGTTTTTGCCTGCACACTGACGTTCTCTGTGGCTTGAGTGAAGGCAGTGTAAAAAGCTGATTTTGTGCCTTTATGCATCCTTTCGTCGGAAAATAGGGCCATTGGATATGGAGCGAGCTCGTAAGTGAAGTAGGCCTTCAACTGTAGGTCTGGCTGTTTCATGATACACATGCACTGAAAGATGGTGAGTGGCTCGTCATCGACTCTCTTCTTGTGCATCTTGATGGTGGTAGGCGTTACCAAAGAGAGGACTTTTTCTTTCCTAGAGAAACTAACATTCCCAAAAGTGTTTCCAATAATTCGGTTTACTGATTGATTGATTGATTGATTAAGTTACTGTACTTTTGATTACTTATGTTTATATTAAAATACATTTCAACGTTTTTTTTAATGGTTTCATGCCTTCTTTTTCATTACCAAATCAAAAAACAAAAGATAGGAAAGGTTGTGGAACATTTCTGGATAAATGTGATTTTACCTTATATGTTTTTTTTTTGCGATTTTGGGAGAATTACGAAGCCTACAGACCCCGCTCTGCGCTTAATTTAAAGGTAATGAAATTGCCTACAAATTATACTCTACAAGTTCTACTCGTAGGATCAATGGTTTCGACGCAATTTCGGTCCAAAGAAGGTCCTAAAACTAAAATTTTGAATTTTTGGAAAAGCTGGTCTATTTTCAAAGTGCCGTAATTCGGTAACCAATTAACCTATAGAGCTCCGGTTAGGCTTAATTTGATGCTCTTAAAAAATGTATAGAATAGCTTTCGACGAAAAATGCATGGATTAGGAGATATAGAGCAGAATCTGAAACAAGTCCAAAAATTTCGCGGTTTTTGTGTGTAAAAATTTTTCCACAACTTTTTAAGAGTTGCAAACTTGGGTATACATAGCCCTAATGAGTCTATACAACATACTAAAAAATCAGAGATACATCATGTTTTGCGAATTTAGAGATTTTTTATGTCGATTTTGACCGGCCTAGTAGGCGGAATATAATTTCCTTAAGAAATCTTAAATGGTAATAGGGCTGACATGATCCTTTTAATTTTCTCTTCAGTTGTGTTATTTCTTAAATTTCAACCAGGTGTACAAAAAATATAGTTCTTTTATGAACAGAAAGTAAAGTCTAAAATGTCCGAACCATAAGACGTTGTTATCCCCAGTTCCATTGGCACCAAAATTGACACGTTTCAACCATCCCGTACAAAAATGATAAAGTTCTGAAAATAATCGAGGTGGACCACCTAGTATTTTGTATGATATAATATAATACAAGTAGGCCGGTGACAAATATGTAGGTACAATAAACTAACTGTTCCAAATTATAAAAATCTATTATCTTTCAAATAAATGTTAATATAAGGATTTCCGTCTGTTCTTGATAACAGCTCCAAAAACATATGAGAAAATACGTAAAAAATAATTTGTTTCAGATAAGGAAACTGTTTGTAGGGGGAACTATGATATGAGAGAATTCAGTTAACTATAGAAATGCCAGTCGCAGTAGCGCATCGGCATCGGTGCCGTCGAGTGAAGCATACTGTCGTTCGCAAGGCCACCACGTTGATCACCACGTGCTCGCGTGTTTTCCAGTGATTATGTCTGTGGGACACACCATCAAACGGCGAGACGATGAAGAGGAGAGTGAGTCACCGCCACCGCCGGACGGGGGATGGGGTTGGATGATAGTCTTCGGGTCCTTCATGATACACGTTATAAGTAAGTTTTTGATTTTGTTTGTAGCATTAGTATTCACAAAGTACTATTTAAACTTTTGACAATTTGACAGCTTTGGCAGGAAAACTATTAAATACTTATACGTTGAAAGTCAACGCCGTCCACTTTTTGACAGAAATAGTGACCCCACAGGAATCCTATAATAAACATACAAAAATTAAAAAATTATGTTTTAAGGTCGTAATTTGCGTAGGTATAAAAATGCAATAACTTATTTTAATACATATTTCAAATACATTATACGCGACAAAAATGGCTATTACAACGTGGATTTACGCGTAAATATACAAACAAAATAAATTAATCTCATTTATCGTAAAACCACACCAAAGCTGTGAATCGGAATTTCTCAGACATCCAAAGATTTATGCATGGGTACAGTTAACCCACAATGCTACAGATTTTTTATTAATTCTGTTTGAGCAATCTTGGTGACAAATTTAGGACATAAAAATAAATACAGCATGTCCAAGAATAGAATGGAAATAAGGGGGATTGTTTTTATATTTTATTTTATAGAAAAAGCTAATCTAGTTAAAATATTCTGCTTTTTATCCCTGTTATAGTTCGAGATTAGAACAAAAAAAAATGATTACATCGTTGATGCTAATGTCAGAAATTTTTTTAGCAATGATTTGACATTTTGGAAAACGAATCTGCTTAGTTAAAAATATTTTGTAAAGTATTTTTATTTATAAAAAATTAAGTAGAGCCTTTTTCGTACAAGTTATTCAGAATTAAAATTTATTCACACTTTCCAAATTTGAAAGGAATATGCCCACTTCGACATTCTCAATTTCTCCATCCTGTGCGAATTCCCTTTTTGAAGAAGAAAGAAATTGAAGAAGTAAGAAAATGGGAAAAAAATTATTAGAACTTGTTTAGAATTAATACGTATGTTAATATCTCAAAGTTGACGATCGGCTTTAATTTTTCAATTCACTGAATTATACAAACAAAAAGTATTACATTCAAATTTGGTATATGAACTTATTTTATAACTTTTCTTAAAAGCATTTTTTGATTTTACACACCTTATACGAAGAAAACCACTTGACCTACACACAAAATATTTTTTGAGCTTGCGGCAAAACCTACTTAATTTTTCAGAAATAAAAATATGCTACAAATTGCTTTTGTATCATACAGGAAAATTGCCCAAGATGCGGCTGTACCTCAGTAAAACGTTCCATTGTTCTTGCGGATTGCATACTAAACATTTAAAAAAATTACTAATATTATTATTCTTGCACTTCATACTTTGTATAGTAGAACAGGGATAATAGGGATAGAGATAGAGATTGACATTTTTGCCTTTATATCTGAAAAAAAAATAACAAAGAACAAAGTTTTAGGAAATTTTCTTGTGTTATCTATGATACATATAATATATGACAATTGAAGGTTGAGTTACAGAGACATAGGTACACCAAAATATATGTCCATTATCTTGCACAGAACGAAGAAATACTGTTTTATAATAATATATTTTTCCTTAAGGCTGGCTTTTTATAGACAAGAAATTGCACTTTTAGTAAAACAATGATAGAACAAGTAGATTCATCCAGGAAGTGAGAAAGCGTAACGCCAAATTAGAACAGCTTCCTTTAATTTCTCTCATTGATATATCACGGAGAACATGTAAACATCAGAAAATTTACAGTTCTTGTTTTGTCCAGAAAAGTAAAGATACTCAATAATTGTAACTGTGCATGTGTTAATAGTTTCCTAAAAGCATTCTGCTTGTGTGATTATGTTTGTAGTACCATACGCATTTTTTTGATGTTCAACAGAGTGCAAAATTCAGGAAAAGTAAGATAAACTTACGAGGTAAAGATATGCCTAATTTTAAATAAATTGTCAATTGTCTTGTAACCTAAAGTAAATTTATACAACTGGTACAGTAAAGAGATATTGTTTCTAAGTGGCTTAGATTTTCTAATAGGCTGGACAAAAAATTTAATGGCGTGTTCATTAAATTTAACAGTGGAAAAGCACACTGATTTCATGGCAATCTATCTTCTTTGCCTTTTTTGTACGAGCAGAAAAAAATGATGAAAATCAAAGTTCTAAGAAATTTTCTTCTGATCTCAAAGAAATACTTAATTAAAAACGTTGCAATAAATATGGATTGATTTCATTGTAATCTCGACTTTTGTCAATGTGCAAGGTAAGTAAATAATTCAAAATATTGTGCAAACTCTCAAAGCAAATATATCGTATCTGCGCATATATCGTTGTAATCAGAAATATAAGATTAAAGAAAAACGATAAAACTGTTCAATTAAGTAAAAAACGTGATATTGGCTTATACTGCATACTGGTTGTTTAATATCGTAAGAAAATTTACTTTAGTCTTTATCATTATTTCTGATAAGAAGCCAAAACAGATAAGGAAGGCTGAATGTTAATAGAATACCCTTAGTTATAGAAATGAGCCAGCACATACAGTGTTACCTACTAGAAACGGTTAGAAATATAATAACTGATTAGGATTCAACAACAACTATGACTCAAAATACAATTCTTCGTGCCTTACATTTCGACATCAAAATTACCCACATAGAAACAATAAAATTATATATTAATTTTTCAGTGGATCATAAAATATTGTTGCGTAGGCACCTTAGAAACAGTATACATATATATTTTGCAAGCACACGCTTGCAATTTTTCACTGCTTAGACTAGCGCAAAAGTAACACCTTTACATACATCCTCATGTTAATATGTAATAAATGGTTAATTGATAAACGTCATTGAAATTTAATTGGACCATTCATCAATCTATTTTCTCTATCTATACAACATCTCTTATTGCAACGATATGAAAATAAACTCCTCTTGATTTATATTAGTACGCTAAAATAGACACAACGCTGAAGTCGATTAACAAGGCCTGCTACTATTTTTATTTTCCAAAAATGGAAAAACTATATTGACGACTTTTAAAGTGGAGGAATTTCTTGCTGCAACTTATCTTCCATATACATATACAAAAATATACAGGTTAAATATGCCACCTCTTTGGGAAGCGCAATATTAATATAGTCAGCAACACCTCAAGGATGATAGTCAATCTGTCCCAACACGTCTACAAGAGCAGTCTAATAAGACTGCGATGTATGCAGTAGATGTACATGGAGCAAGGAACATATTTTACAAACAGGAAGAAACTGAGGAATAACAACAGAGATAAATTAACAGTTGCGGGGCATAGGACAGATACAGGACATGCAATAGTTGAATTTAATTCTAGTGAGAGCCATAGAAATCCAAAAGAATCGAAATCATTTCAACCGGGACGAGGGCCAAGAACTAGAAAAAGAGAGCGATTTGTCTCTTGAAAAATCAAATATAAAATGTAAATAATAAATCGACGACGTGGCAAACGTCACAGAAATTGTCATCCAATAGCCACTTGAAACCATACAATTTTACTTAAAATAATGATAGACCACATAAATAAGTGACTGCTTGAAGTCACATTTCAATGAATATTATCTAAACAGTTAATAAATTCAAAAAAAAAGTATTAAGTTCAAAAAATGAAATGATGAAACAGAATAATTACCCATCTTTAAGAAAAATTAATGTCGTGGTTTTGAATGAATGATTTTATTTTTTGAAATACTGAAAACGTATTTTTATTAAACGATTAAAACAAATCATACCTCATTTACAAATTTAAATATTATTGTATGCCTACTGTTTGAACATTTTTCGAAAATGTTTTACTTTCTATTTCCTAATTGACAAATAAAGTTACAATATTATCCTACTATCATGATTTCATGACCTGTTTTGTAGGCATGAGTATATAAATAGATTATTCGAATACAGATAGACGGTTTAAATATGATATCGATGATTCATAAAAGAAATATACGGTTACAAGATTATCTCCTTTGTTACTTTATATATTCGATACTATAGAGAATCTACAAAGCAGGCTTTAATATTGTTTCTAAAGATATTCGTTTTCCACAAAGAATTGTGTCACTATCTTCATTGCATGCCTCCAATTGTAACAGGAACAAATTGTGTGAGAATTTGATATCATGCTGAGATTATTTTTACTTTGTATTTTTTAATTGCGAAATTATAACAAACAAATTGCGAATTTTCTCAAATTTTCAAACAGACTTATATGAAAGTTTGATACAATTTGTTTCTGTCGCGATTTTAAGAAGAAATTTGTGAGTTTTAATGGATATATCCTGCCTATTAACATCTACACAAGAAAAAATTAGGGCGAGTTAGATCTGAAGAGAGGCCCGGCCATTCTAACGCTCCGCATCTTCTCATTCACAGACTTAGAACGACGCGACGTCAGGTATGTACCACTCTCTTCAGGTGCAGCATATTACAGGAGTGTGCCAGCCATAGTTCTTCATTGAGAAGGAAATGTATAAAATGAATTATGTTAACATGAGCATCTATCATGATCATTTGATGTTTGTTTTAATCATAAGAAGATGTTCATCTGATACTGAGATTCCTATTTTTAGAAAAAAAATTCTGGTAAAAAATCACTAAATTTCTAAATGCTACTCAATAACACCCTGGAATATCAACATAAAATTTACAGTGTTAAAAAATCTTAAAAGTAATAATAAAATTTCTGTTTCATACACAACTTTCGAAGTGTATGAAACAGCTACACAACTCAAATTTATTATTATACGCAATATAAACCATGTATGTATTTTACTTGTTGCCATATACAAAATTTACAATTCCTCTTTTAACTACAATGGAATTTTTTTCTTCATTGCAATTTATTTTCATACATATTTGAGGTTGCGATATTATATGTAAGTTAAAAGTTATGTTACCTAAATGGAAAACTTTTTCCAGCTAACTTTAAACTCATAAATATTACTAACTAAAATTTTAGACTATACATTTTCTTATACTTATACTTCCCTCAGTAACTTGCGATACATAATTTGGCATTAACACAACAGAAATGCAAGATTA